TTCAGCCACTGCAGCCTCAACCTGCTGGGCTCCGGCGATCCTTCCGCCTCAGCCTTCCAAGTAACTGGAACTACAGGTGCGCGCGACCATGCCCGGCTAATTTTTGATTTATTGTAGAGATGAGGTCTCGTCAAGTTGCCCATACAGGTCTCAAACCCGCGAGCTCAGACAATCCAATCACCTCAGTCTCCCAAAGTGCTGGGATTACAGGCTGAGCCACCGAGCCCGGCTTAGGCCTCTCTTCTGAGCTTATATGACTAGCCATATAATCGATGTCTCCATTTGGATTTTTTTCAGGTGTCTTACTCACATATGCAATTCTGAACTCACAGTCTTAACCTTTTCCACCTCCAGCATTCCCCTTCTAGTCAATAGTATTACTGTCCAGTCAGCCACTCAAGCCAGAAACCCAGGAGTTATCCTTTACTCTCCCCTCCCATTCCTTTACTCTTCACATTAAATATATATATATATATTTACTTACATTAAAATATATATCATTATATATTTTGTCATTAAAATATATATCATTAGCTGGGTGCAGTGGTTCATTCCTATAGTCCTAGCTACTCAAGAGGCCTCCAAAAGATACGTCCTTCATACCCACTTCTCTACATTTCTATTGCCACTGCCCTTATCCAGATCACTAGTTACTTATACCTGCAACAGCCTCAAGTGACCTCTCTTATTCAATCCCACACTCAACAAATCCTTTTTTGAGTAACTCCTATATACCAGGCACTACTCTAGATTCTGGGGTGATGGTAAACAAAGCAGAATCCCTGCTGCCCTGCAGTTAAGTGAACAAGTAGATCACATGGTGTAAATACTATGAAGCAAATAAATAGGTTAAAGTGATGATGACTGGGTTGGGAGGGGTGTAACTTAACATTGACTAGGGAAAGCTGCTCTGAAGAAGTGACCTTTGGGCATTGATTGGAATGTTGAGAAGGAGCCAGTCTTGTGACTCTGGGGATAAGCAACCCAGCAAGGGGAATAGTAAATGCAAGGCCCCACAGGAAACACCAAACCGGATCAGTGAAAGGCCAGTGTGGTGGAGCAGAGTAATCTGGGGTGAAGCGAGGGTGAAGACAGCAGGGGGATTTCAGAGTATGGTAAAAAGTGGGAATACAATGGAAGGTTCTAAACAAGGGGACAGAAAGGGCAAAATTGAGTTATATTTTTTTTTTTTTAGTCAGAGTCTCACTCTACACCCAGGCTGGAATACAGTGGCAGGCTCACAGCCACCCTAGCATCGACCTCCTGGACTCTGGTGATCCTTCCACCTCAGCCTTCCAAGTAGCCAGAACTACAGGCACACACTACCATGCCTGGCTAGTTTTTGATTTATTGAAGAGATAAGGTCTTGCCAAGTTGCTGAGGCTGGTCTGGAATTCCTGGACCAAGTTGCTCGGCCTGGTCTAGAACACATGGGCTCAGGCAGTCCACTCGCCTCAGCCTCCCAAAGTGCTGGAATTACAGGCTGAGCCACCAAGCCCAGCCAAGCTACAGTTTTTAAAGACTTATTTCGTACTCTCACTTCTCTAATTTTTATCTCCACAATAATCTTTTTTTTTGTTTTTTCGACTTGGGGTCTCACTCTGTCACCCAGGCTAGAGTGCAGTGGCATACTCGCGTAGCCTCAACCTGGTGGGCTCAGATGATCCTTCTGCCTCCGCTTTCTAGTTATTCCTGGGACGCAGAAGGCGAGCACCATTTTCTCTTTCTTTTCTTTCTTTTTTTTTTTAAGTCAACAAACCTTCCCTGGCAAGAAAACACTGGAAGAGACTGTCTAAGTGGGGCTCGTGAGCAGGTGGCCAGGCCCCTTGTGCAACAGTAGGTGCTGCAGCTTCTGTACTTTGTCCCTGGCTCTTTCTGGGTCGCAGAAGCTAAGCACCATTGCTTTTTCAAAATGGACAGAAGTTTTCCTTTGGAAAAGCGGCAGGGAGACACTATTGCCCCAGACGCTCCCTCACCATTGAAGCAGGAGAGAGATTGTGCCGGGCTTTGCCTCATCACTTCAGCACCTTGCAGGGCACTGGAAGGGGCTGTAGATGGAGTCCAGAGGCAAGTTCCCACGGAAGAGGACAAGAGAGGCACCCCACCACCATACTGAAGGCAGGGCAGGAAAGTGCTCTGATTTGCTCATCATGGACCAACAGATCCAATCTCTGGCAGATCAACTACTCAGAGCTTGATCATGGCCCAAAGGGAACCTGAGAGCACAAACTTTAGAGGGACCTGATGAGTGCTGAGTTCCAAGTGCCCCACCCCCTACCCTGATCCAACGTGGGACAAAGAGTGTGTTTAGGAAAGGAGGAGGAAGAGCTCCAAAGAGATCAGTGAACCCCATCCCCCACTTTATTTGAATTTCAAAAAGTACAAGAGACAGCAAAGCTTCCCATCCACCATCCTATTTCAAAATAGAACAAACCCAGAGCCTGGATCAGGAAAGAATAGCAGTCTGACCAAACTTCAGAGGGGGAAGCCTCTCCCACTGACACTGAATAACAGAACTAAAGAGAAAAACAAGATCTGTCACAAATGAGGAAAAGCCAAAGGAAGACCTCAGGCAACTTCAAGTGTACCAAAGACAAAACTGAAAAATCAGACCTTGGTGCCCAAACAATGGAAGTCACCAAAGACTGTCCACAGAATATGACAGGGATTAGGGAATGGCTGGAAAAAGTGAATAGGACTCAAGAAAGACAACATACAACACTGAAAGAACTTGTAACAGAGATTTTGGCAATGAAAAATTTCATCCATTAAATAAATAACAAGATGACAAGCATGGAAAGCAGAATTAATCTAGCTGAAGAAAGAATATCAGAACTTGAAGACTAGAACATGGAATTAACCCAATCTGTAAAATACATAGAAAGAAGACCCAGAAAGAAAGAACAAAACCTACAAGAGATGTGCGATTATATCAAAAGGCCGAACCTACACCTAACTGGTAACCCAGAAGAAGAAAGGGAAATCGAGAACAACTTGGAGCAAGTATTCCAGGAAGCAATCTAAGAAAACTTTCCCCATATTACCAGAGATGTGACCAGCCAAGCACAAGAGATACAGAGAACCCCCAAAGACCTCAAATGAGAAGACCAACCCCTAGACACATAGCAATTCACCTATACAAAGTAGTCACAAAAGAAAAAATCCTAAAGGCAGTAAGAGAGAAAAGTCAGACTACTTAACGGGGAAAACCAATCAGAACAGCAGCAGACCTATCAGCAGAAACACTACAAGCAAGAAGGGACTGGAGCCCTATATTCAAAGTCCTCAAAGATAAATCATTTAAACCAAGAATTTCTTTTTTTTTTTTTTGAGTTGGAGTCTCAGTCGCCCAGACTGGA